GTAAATTTTACTGCTTTATTTACTAATACAATGGATTACATCATACAAGGTTTATATGATTATGGGTTTATATGATTATGACTAATTTGCTTGTTACTAGTTTTCAGTTTTCTTTTCCATATTCTATCATTAAGGAAGAATATGGCACTCCTAAGAACAATAGAATCTTTATGAACTAATAATGAACAGAAGAATATGGCACTCCTAAGAATGATAGAATCTTTACGAACTAATAATGAACAGAAGAATATGACACTCCTAAGAATGATAGAATCTTTACAAACTAATAATGAACAACAAATTGACAGGATTAAAATTATTGAAAATCAGCCGGGCGATGGTTGCGCACGCCTTTAATCCCAGCACTCTGGAGGCAGAGGCTGGCGGATCTCTGTGAGTTTGAGACCAGCCTGGTCTACAGAGCTAGTTCCAGGATGGGCTCCAAAGCCACAGAGAAACCCTGTCTTGAAAAAAAAAAATTATTGAAAATCAGAGGTTATCTGAACAAGTGGATACTATGACAGACAAAATTGACTCCATATCCAAGGGTACTAGAAAGTTACCTGAAAGGATGCAGGCTGTTGAATTTGACGTTCAGACGTCATCACAAAGTTTTGATAAGGTAACAGACAGAATGTACCTCCAAGATGGGAATCTACATGATATACAAGAAAAGTTTAAGGAGGACATGTTATCTTTGAAGGAAAAAATTAAAGCTTTGGAATCACGGGTGCAGAATCGGGACCAAAAAATTGATACCTCAGTGAAATCACTAGAAACATATACAGGTCAGGAGATTCAGGATTTAAGAGAGACAATGATAAAAAGATTTGAAAAGATTGAAGAAATTATTGGAGCTGGTGAACAGAGTAAGGAGGCACAAGGACAGGATACAATGCCTCCACCAGCTATTAGAACTGGCTTACCCAGGGTTTTAGCAACATACCGTATACTTAATTCTGACAAAGCATCAACTTCTAAAGGCTCAAAAGGAGTCAAAGAAGCTACATGGACGCCTATAGCAATGAATGATGTGAAAGAAATTAAGTAAGCTATTGTTAATTTTGACTTGCACTCTGCATACGTAAAGGAAATGATAAGGACTTGGGCTTCTAATGCTAGAGCTACCCCCCATGATTTCCATCAGTTAGTGTCTGCAGTTTTAGATAATGGACATCCTTGATGCTTGGAATTTATTTCAGAGAAGAATCCAAACATATGGAACAGCAAAGAAGAGCAAAAGGTGTGGAGGTTTCCCAAGATCAAATTCTTGGTGCAGGAGAATATGCTGATCCACAGGTCCAAGCTTTTTATGACGAAGAAGTACTGTGTCTATGTCACCAAGCAGCTTTAAATGCTTGGAATAGGATACAAGATCCAGCAAAAAGGGTTGAATCATATACCAGGATTAGGCAGGGACAGAGAGAACCCTTTATTGACTTTTTGCAAAGATTAATTAAGGCTCTGGATATAGGGGTAACAGACCCAGACGCTAGATGAATACTTCTTGAATCTCTAGCTTTTGAGAATGCAAAAAGATAATTGGGTCTTTAAAGTCTAGATCAGCACCTATGGATGAATGGATTCAGCATACGATGAGCGTTGAGACATTTAGTTATAATGATGAATCTTGGGTAGGAGATTTCCAAAGCAATGAGGAGACATCAAACTTCCAGGTGTCTTAATTGTGGTAAATTAGAACATTTGCAAAGGGATTGCTGGCAAAGAATTTCTAGGAGTAATATCTCTTCTGGGAATGACAAAAATAGGAGACCTTGGCTTTTAGGTATATGTAGGAGATGCAGTAAAGGCCGGCATTGGTCCAACGAATGCAGGTCAACAACAGACAGACAGGGCAAACTGATATCATCGGGAAACTCCTTGAGGGGCCCCTCGCAGGCCCCCAAGCCAACAATGGCCCAGTCATTCCCAGTCACAGTGGAGAATGTGCCTCACCAAGAAAATTAAAAGCTCCAATTTCTGCTGTAAAAAGTAATACTTGTCTAAATGATGAATTACGCATGGAGGATAAGTAAAAAAAAAAACCCAGTAGGACAGAGTAAACGTATATTTTGGCAGACTTCTATTAATGATCAAAGACCAAAGCTAAGAGTCTGTATAAATGGCACTTTTATTGAAGGCTTATTAGACACAGGTGCGGATGTAAGTATCATTACCCCAGAATCTTGGCATCTGAATTGGCCTCTTCAAGAGGTAGATGTTCAGTTCCTGGGAATTGGAACCCTATCTTGTGTAAAACAAAGCACAAGATTGGTTGAATGCATAGGGCTCGAAGGGCAATAGGAAGACTAAGGCCATATATAGCCAATATTGCCATAAATTTATGGGGCCGTGACCTGCTACAGCAATGGAATACCCAGATTAACATTCCTGTAGTTCCAGGATCTCATAATTCTGGGAAGGATATAATGAGGTATTATGGAGAAAGGTCACCAGCCATTCAGGCTGTACAAGAGCACACAGCAATTACCAAACCCTTTTTTTCTTGACTGTCTTAACTGCAAACAAGACCTGTAAGATATATTTTTATATTTTGTTCTCCCATAACTTTGTTGCAAGGTTCATATTTTGGTTTCTCAACTAGGTAGACTCAAGAAAAGATTTAATTCTAGCACTCAGGAGGCCGAGAAAGGTAGATATTTTTGAGTTTGAGACCACCCTGAAACAAGAGGTAGTTTCAGGGCAGGCTGCAATGCTACACAGAGAAATCCTGTATTTAAAAACACAATCAAAACGGAGTGAGAGAGAAAAAAGAAAAGAAAAAAAATAGTATGCACAATACTCTCCCAATGAGAAGTTATTATTATTATTTTTTTTAATTAAGTGATTTATGTCAGTGTTAGGTATATTTCCTACGATTTGGTTATTGTAAACAAGTTCTATCATTGAGATATGTGTTCAAACTAAAAGAGTAATTTAGAAGATTTTTTTTTAATATAAAACTTTTTTTTTTTTTGAGACAGGATCTCCCTTTATAGAGTAGATGGCCAGAAAGGATCTCTTCATAGGGAGTATATTGTTGTCAAACATTGAGATCCGTCTGTCTTTGAAACATGTGTTCTGGGGTTAAAGGGATTCATCAGTAAGCATGTCTTCATAAAAGTAAGCATACAAAGTTAAGAACAAATAATGGACAACATTCCTTTTACTTTTTTGCTGAGGTCTAGTCCTGACTGTGTTGGTAGGCCAGGCTTGCCTGGAACTCACAGTTATCTTTCTTCCTTTGCTTTCCAAGTCCTGGAATTAAAGTGTGTGCTACTATTCCCAGTTGGTGGCTATATTTATCATTCCAGAATTCTTCAGAGAAAGGAGTGTAAGAAATAAGTCAGCAGAGGAAAAGAAAAAATGAACCCAATTTGGTGTTAGCATACCCATAGCTGATTTTTTTTGGTCTGAGAGGTTTGTGATTCTAAACCATGCAGCTGGTGTTTGAGGGTAAAGTAGTAAATACTGTGCATAGTTGAGAATCAGTTTTTTGTAGTGGAGAATAGGAGGCCCAGAAATTGTTTTTCTGATTAAATTGTATTCTTGAAACCATGAGGCCTGGGGGAAATTGTTTTGAAACCTGGCTGCAGGGTAGGAAATAAGTCAGATTGGGCCTGGAGAGATGGTTTAGAAGTTAGAAGCTTAATTCCTGGTCTGAGGATACATTCAGACAGAACATGGTATACTAATGAATAAATAAATTTTCAAAAAAAGAAGTGAGATCAACTGTTTTTGCAAATTTAGGGCTGCAGGGCACCCAAAGAACTTTTCTTGCTTTCCAGAATTTCATGGTTGAAGGTTTCTGGAAGCTTTGGGTGTGTTTTCTAGGTATGTTTCTGAGGTATAGAATTTAATTGAAGGAGGAGTAGGAAGTTTCTGCCAGTCACTCCTGCCTACAACATAAGTTTGAGGTCATTCTGGATTTACAAACAAAAGTTGCTTTTTCAAAAATTAGAAAACAAAGAAAAACAATAATAAATAACAACAAAGCAAACAAACAATGAAACAACAAAAACAAGCTAAGCCTCCATGCCTCCACCTCTCCCCTAAAGCAAAAAACATACCAAAAAAAAAAAAACAAACCAAAAACAAAACAAAAAAAAAGCTCTGGGTGTGCAGACTTTTAATCCTGGCTACAGGGGTTTGGAGCTAAGGTCCCTGTGGAGTTCTAGGTCCAGTTAGGATCCAGTAGTATAAGTAGTATAATTCAAAATTCCAAACAAGAACAAAACTCAAACTTGCTTTATTATATTTATTATTTTATTGTGTGCATCATATTTATAACTTATAGTCACAAAGAAGAGGACAGAAGAAATGATTATTGCATCTTTGAAGTGTAATAAGGGTTTTCTCATAAGGCATAATCTCAGGGATTTTTCATTCACTGTGGCCTTTTGTCTACTGCTAAAGTTACACTATCTTTATAAAGTCTTTGTTTTTATGTGGTTGGGTGGATGGATGATAAATTAATACAATTACAGTCACAGTAGTGACAGAACACGACACAGTTATTCAGGAAAGCTTAATTTTCGCTGCATGGATTCTCTGTTTTTTCAAATTGTGCATCGTTTACCTCAAGTTTGTTTTTAATGTTTGCTGGAACTAGTATAAGAAAGCAGGACTACTTCACGTGTGATGTTCCTGCTCCCCCCCCCCCCCCCAAAAAAAAATAAGGCTGGTTGCTGCTTGGTATTTACGTGCTCTGGGGAAAATACTTGATATAGTTTTTTTTTTTATTGCTCTTTATTCCTCATGAGACCAAAATAGCAGTCAAATGAAAGAGCACCAATACTTAATTGGGATAAACGAATTACCTAGCATACCTAAAAGAAGTTTCACTCTAGTTGGTGGTGCTTTTTGGCAGGGTTTGCTGTTTAGCAAGCTAGTGAGCCTTTAGCAATACCGGTCTTGACGTAAGTCAACAAAAGTCACGTGAGATAAAACGGTTGCTTCCATTGGTAAACCTGGCTAGCTTTGCGGCGAGCTTACAGTAGTTGTTTTTGGCTCACACTGACCCTATTACAACAACTTTATGCAGATACTAGGTAAGCTTGGTAGTCTAAGAATTTCGGGTAGGTTCTACAACAGTGTCTGCTTCCGGCTTCATGTGATCAACACCTGCTGGGCTATGTGAACTAAGGGTATCAGGAGCTTTCCCCTTTGCCTGGGAGTTTGTAGTGGCCTCAGCTGCGGCGATAAAGTTGGCGTGGTAGTTTCAAGCTTCGATTGAAGCAGTCATTTCAAGCTTTGGACTGGTGGTGAATGAGCGTGAATGTGGAACTTGAACACTTTTTGCTTTTCCATGAAATCATACGGATTGTCCCTTGCTACTGCTGCTGTCTTGCGTGATGAGAAAAAGAAAATGGCGGCGGATACGGCGAGTAGCGAGGGCGACGAGGGGTCCTTTAATCTCACAGTCGAAGAGAAGGAGGCGCTTTGTGGGTTGGATAGGTAAGCATTACTGATACAGGTTATTTTTTTTTTTCTGGGGTCAGAACACTCTGCAAGAAGGTCCAACTGCATCTTGTTTGCGGTGGCGACTTCGCTATCGCTTTTACCCGTGTTTTGGGATGTTAGTTACTCATGTTTTTCTGAGCATTAACAAGAAGAATGTATTTTTTCTACAGCAGCTTTTTCGGGTTCTTAAGCCGACGCGAAGATGGCGCTAGGACGAAGACGCTATTGAACAAGGTACAGCAACTACGATTGGACTTAATTGCTTACATCTTTTGCCTAAGGTTTGAGGATCCCAGGCCTGAGCCTTTCCGTACACAGTAGCCTTTAGGGCAGTTTGAACCCGGTGTTTTTTCTTTTTCTTCCCGTTTCTCGTTTCTTTCTCGGAGTTACGTATCTTTCTGATAGTTTGAGGTCCTGCCTCAACATACAGTTCAGAGCATTTGCTTATTTTAGTGCTTTTTGGTGGGTGAGGTCAACGGTATTTCCAGTTTCTCATCTCAAGTTATGAAAGTCAGTAGATTGCGAATCTACGTCTTCGATATCGCAGCCGATTGTAATATGCACACGTCTTATCCTTTAAAATATTTCCTTTTCACATAAAGAGCAAGTTACAGGAAACCGAGATAAAGAGTTTCGGTAGACTTTTTTTTTTTTTTTAATGTAGTAGCCATAGAAATAATACTATAAATACTATTTTGCAAGTAATCTTTTTCCTTCCTTGGAGTTTGTTTCCCGAGTGTGAAATACCGGAAGGCATTTCATGTTTGAAAGTTGGCACTGTTATTTAGTTAATGGTTGCTGGTAGCCGTCAAGATGGTGGGAAATAGTGGGAGGAGAAATGAAACCGAGTTTTAGAGAGGAAACAGGTTAGTGTCAGCAAGAAAGCAGGTATGTCATCGATTTTATACATGGTTAATTGTGATAAGTACATTCAAGAATCTCTTTTTGAGGTTAGTAAGGACTTGATAATTCTACTCTTAAGTAACAGGGAATCGTTTTGATTAAGCCGTTTTAACCAGGTTCAATTTCTTGCTAGGATTGCCCTGCTTCCTTTTAGACGTTATGGTAAAAACTTTAAAAAAAAGTGTTTTCATCTAGTGTATATGCTATTTAACTATACCTTTAAAAATTTGAACTTTCAGAATTTTCATAAATTGAAAAAAAATTATGGTATTGACTGTAATTTTGAGTGACTACTGTTATTAGAGGCAGGGATTTGCCTGGTTGTCATAGAACACACAGACAAGAATACACCTGCCTCTGCATTCTCATTGCTGACATTGAAGACATGTATCATGAAAACTTATTCTTTTCTCCCCCCTTTTCTATTTATTAATTTTTTATATGATTATATATAGAGTCATAAGATAACTTCTGGGGATCAATTTTCTTTTTCCACCACACAAGGCTTGACAGCAAGTTCTTTTACCAGCTAAGCTACATCCTTTGTCTTTGAGTTTATAGTGTATGTCTACTCTTCTTGACCAGAAGAGAAAGATTATGTGGAACTGGAGTTAAGTAAAGGTTGTGAACTGTGTGGACTCTTGGAATCAAACAAGTGTCCTTTGTAAGAGCCCCTTAGTTCATTTAAATTAAATATGAAATTTTCAGGTCCTTTGTAATATAAATTTCAGTGTTATTGAACTGTTTTCAGATATTGAGATCTTTAGTATTTTTCTGAATTGTAATTGTAATGGCATTTATTTAAAAATGAGAAGCTAAAAAATTATGAGAATGAGAAAGTACCAAGACTTTGAGAACAGCTGTGAGCTATGACTTTATTAAACACTAGATAATATGTATTGTTATACTCATCATATATAACATATATCATATATAACAATATATACAACACACATTGTTATAATATGTTGTGGATTTTTTTTTTTTTTTTTTTGGTTTTTCGAGACAGGGTTTCTCTGTAGCTTTGGAGCCTGTCCTGGAACTAGCTCTTGTAGACCAGGCTGGCCTCGAACTCCCAGAGATCCGCCTGCCTTTGCCTCCCGAGTGCTGGGATTAAAGGCGTGTGCCATCACCGCCCGGCTATGTTGTGGATTTTTATTTTAGACCTTCAACCTTCCTAATGCTGTAAGCCTTTAGTACAATTCTTCATATTGTGATGACCCCATCCATAAAATTATTTGTTGCTACTTCATAACTGTAATTTTGCTACTGTTATGAATCTAAGTGACTTAAAGGTTGAGAACCACTATTTTAGACAGTGTCATACTCTTTATTTTGTTGCCCAGGGTAGTTTCAAACTTACATTAGTACTCTTTCCCTCAACCCCCAACTACTGAGATTGCAGGTGAGAGCCACTCTTCAATAGTTATTGAAATGTACTACAATATAAAAATGCCCTATTAAAAATATAATTAAAATATTATATTTTTTAAAAATTATTAAATTTTATTAAAAATATTAAAAATATAAGGACAGATGACAATTTTTAAAGTCTGTGTTCAAGTAATTTTTATCATGTTGTATGGTTACACTTTTCTGTAATGGCACCATTCAGAAGAGACTAAAGAATTTCTTGAGTTATACTTGGTGGCAAGTGTCTTTACTCCTTGAGCCATCTAAGAGGCCCTAAATCATTATTTTTATTGCCTGCCTGTCTGTCTTGTCTGTCTATCTCTATCTATCGATCTATCTATCTGTCTGTCTGTCTGTCTATCTATCTATCTATCTATCTATCTATCTATCTATCTATCTATGATTTTTTTTTTGGGGGGGGGGTTTCGAGACAGGGTTTCTTTGTAGCTTTGGTTCCTGTCCTGGAACTAGCTCTTGTAGACCAGGCTGGCCTCGAACTCACAGAGATCCGCCTGCCTCTGCCTCCCAAGTGCTGGGATTAAAGGCGTGTGCCACCAATGCCCGGCTATCTATGATTTTTTTGAGACAGAGTTTCTCTGTGTAACCCAGCTGTTATGGATCTCACTCTGTAGATGAGGCTATCCTGAAACAGTTTGTTATCGTTATTATTATTTTGAGGTAGTCTCAATTTTAGTAAGTTTTGACTGGCCTAGAACAGAGAGAGATTCTTCTGTCTCTGGATTGCTGGGAAGAAAGGAATGTGTTGCCACTGCCAGTTTAAATTTTGTTTCTCTTACTGTTTTTGTTGTGTAGGTGTTTTTTTTTTTTATGTTTTTATTTATTTATTTATTTATTTATTTATTTATTTATTTATTTATTTTTGGTTTTTCGAGACAGGGTTTCTCTGTGGCTTTGGAGCCTGTTCTGGAACTAGCTCTTGTAGACCAGGCTGGTCTCGAACTCCCAGAGATCCGCCTGCCTCTGCCTCCTGAGTGCTGGGATTAAAGGCATGCGCCACCACCGCGCGGCTGTTGTGTGGGTGTTTTACCTGCATGCATAGCTATATATCATGTGTATTTCTAGTGTCCATGGAGGGCATCAGATTCCATGGAACTATAATGACAGCTTCCAGGTGTTTTCTGTATTTTTAACTGCTGAGCCAACTTTTCATGTTAGTTTTATTTTTAAAACAATGTTACTATGACTTTTAGACTGGTTTAGAAAATATGTAGTCCAGGCTAACCTCCAGGTGAAATGATTCTTCTGCCTGTATAATGAGACTTTTCTACATTAGCTTCTATTTTATTGTTATGTTTTGTCTTCGAGACAGAGTTTTTCTGTGTAGCCCTGGCTGTCCGGGAACTCAGTCTACTGTAGACCAGGCTGGCTTTAAACTCAGAGATCCATCTGCCTCTGCCTCTGCAGTGCTGGGATTAAAGGTTACCACCAGGCTTACCTGTGTTTTAATAAAAGGGTATGCTTATGTTTGTACATGTTTCTTATATTGCGTCCTGAGGTCAGAGGACACACCTGAACCTATTTTCATTTTTAGTAGCTGTTGTTTTTTCAAGGAAATATGATTTAAAACAAAGGATGTTTATATTTACAAGGACAGTGCTTCTTTTTAGTATTCCTAATTCTTTTGTTTCTATGTATATTTAAATTTTTTATTTTTCATTTTTTAATGTTTGCTTGAAGTTCTTTTAACATTTTTTTAAAATGTGTATCTGCTTCTAATGTATTAATTTGTCAACACCTGGTGATCTTTAACCTCTTAAGAATATTTTGTGTTCATGTATGTTGTGTGCATGTATGTGTAGACCTCGATAGACATCTTATAGCATCAATTCTTTCCATATGTGGAGTCTAGTAATTGAACTCACCTCATCAGTTTGACCTGCTTGGATGAAAGTGTTTACCCGCTGAGCTATTTTTCAGGCTCTAACCACTTTTTAAAAAAAAAAAATTTGAATATTAGCTGCTAGTAAGTTTTTACAACTAACCCTGCTCAGTTAAGCTGTTCTTCAGTGTTTTCACCCTTTAAGATCTTTCTAAGGTAACCTCAATTTTTTTTTTTTTTTGTATTTTGAGACAGGGTTTCTCTGTAGCTTTGGAGCCTGTCCTGGAACTAGCTCTTGTAGACCAGGCTGGCCTCAAGATCCCCCTGCCTCTGCCTCCCAAGTGCTGGAATTAAAGGTGTGTGCCACTACCGCTCGGAAATAACCTCAATTTTTAAAAGATTTTTTTTTTATTGGCATTACAGTTGGTCTCAATTTTCCTATTTTTGTATAGCTTTAAAGACGTTTCTGTTTATATATGAGTAGGGTTTCCATTTCCTACTTAGTCTGAATTTTTTTTTTTTTTTTTTTTTTTTTTTTGGTTTTTCGAGACAGGGTTTCTCTGTGGTTTTGGAGCCTGTCCTGGAACTAGCTCTTGTAGACCAGGCTGGTCTCGAGTGCTGGGATTAAAGGCCTGCGCCACCACCACCAGGCTAGTCTGAATATTTAATTAAAGATTTTTTCTTAAAAACATTTTTTAATGCTGTGTGTTTCACAGTGCATGTGTGAAGCTCACCACAAAGGACGTGTTGGAGTAGTCTGTTTTCTCCTTCCATAAAGTGGATTTTGAGGTTAAAACTCAGATCAAGTTTGCTTTTGTATCCTGGACCCTTACATTGTATTTAGGATGGCTTTGCACTATTTAAAAAAAAATTGTATTTATGTGTATATGTGTGCACATGTGTGTATGAGTATATGCCAATGTCTGTATAGGTAACCCCAGAAGGTCAAAGCTGCTGTTATAGGCTTCTCAGCATGTTTGTTCGGAAGGAAGTGATTTCTTTTTTCACCAGTGCTTTATTTAACAATTCAGTTTTTTTTTTTTAAATCTCTGAAAGACTTTTAAAAGGTTTTTGACAGTAATGAAGAAATATCATTAATGGAATAAGTATTTTAAGTCCCCTTTCAGAGATAGGAAGGGACAAATATTTCTTCATATATTTTTTGATTTAAGGAATCATGGGCCTAGGGAATATATCTCAGTATTTATCTAAAGTTAAAAAATCAAGGGCTGGATTTCTAGCATCATATCTGCTGATACAGTAGTGCATTGCTTTAATTCTACCAGTCTAGAGGAGAAGGCAGAAGGATCAGGTATTTATAGTCATCCTCAGCTATATAGTAAATTTTAGGACAGTTTTGGCAACATGAGATCTTGTCTCAGGAGAAAAAGAAAAACGAAATCATGGTTTTGTACTTGATACATTTTTTATGGTCAGTAATTTAGAAAGATTGAAAAAAGAAACATGGATGATTTTTAAATTCCAAGAACCAGCTGGATGCTTTACCTTCTGTTTAAAAAAAAAAAAAAAGTAGGAGAGATCCCAGCATCTATAGTTTCAAACCCTTACTAGATTAAAGAAAACTCACTGCAAGGACAGAAAATGGGATATGTGTTTCTTTTTTCTTTTTCTGAAATAGTTAAGAGAACTGCTTGGTGTAACCTAGTCTAGTATGCTATTGTGTGATGTTTCTGTGTATGTGTGTTGGAAAACTCAACATCTTACTATCTTGTTAAATAATAAGTTTTACACACTACTGGTCTTTCTTGAAATGGCCACTTGGCACAATGAGGTAGGTCCTAAAATTTTTTTTTTTTTTTTTGGTTTTTCGAGACAGGGTTTCTCTGTGGTTTTGGTTCCTGTCCTGGAACTAGCTCTGTAGACCAGGCTGGTCTCGAACTCACAGAGATCTGCCTGCCTCTGCCTCCCGAGTGCTGGGATTAAAGGCGTGCGCCACCATCGCCCGGCTTGTCCTAAAATATTTGTATAACATAAAAGTTACTTTAGTCTCAGGCTCTTAGTATTCAGGGTCTGATTGCTAATAAATGAGACGTCTGCTTTTACTTTTGTTCCCCTCCCTTTTTGTTTTTCTTGTTTGTGTATTTGTATATATTGGGTAGATAGTGTTGGATTGTATTTGAAATATGTGAAGAGGAGTAGGTATTGAACAATTGAATTTGTGGTACTCTAAAAACAGTTTCTGACAAAAAAATTATCAGATTTTTTTTAACTGTTCAGCAGCTAAATATTGAATGTCATAAAAGTGCTTGGCAGTGTTGATATACACCTTTATTCCCAGCCAGTGACGTCTTAGAATTCAAGTCCAGCCTGGTCTACAGAGTTTCAGGACAACCAGGGGTTTGCAAAGAAACTCTCTCAAAAAACAAAAACAAACAAACAGATAAAATAAAAAAAAAAGTCATGAGTCATTTTCTTTTAATAGCAAGTTTTCTAAAAACAGTAAAAACCAAACCAAGTCAGGTAAAGGTAGGGTAGTTAGTGGTTGTGTTACTTACTTGTCTATTGCTGTAATAAGATACCAAGATCAAGGTGATTTACAAAGGAAAGCATTTAGCTAGAAGGTGATGGTGCCATTAATCCCAGCACCCAGGTGGAAGGCACAGATGAATCTCTGTGAGTTCCAGGACAGCCAGGGTTACACAGAGAATGCCTGTCTGAAAAAAAGCTAAAGAGAACAAAAATGAAAGCATTTGTCGGGCCTTTGTGTTTAGAGGAGTAGCAGAGGTATCTTGATCTGCAAACAGGAGGCAGAGAGAGGCAGAGAGAGAAATGATTCCTTTGAAACTTCAAAGCCTGCTTGGAATGGTTAAGCTCTTCTAAGGTCACACCTTAAAGAGTTCCACAAACTGAGGATTGAGCATTCAAACACAGAACCCTAAAGGATCATTCTCATTCAAACTACTTTAGCAGTCCTCTCTCCCTCCTTTCCTTCTTCTTTTCCTCCCTTCCATCCTCTCTCCCTTCCTGCCTTCTTTTCTTTCCTTTTTTTTTATTGTATGGTTTAAGCAGGCTCATAATGACTGAGGTGTTTTGTTTTGTTTTTATTTTTCAAGATAGGGTTTCTTTGTGTAATAGTCCTCTCTGGCCTCAGCTGGCCTCAAACTCACAGTGCTCTCTACTCAGTCCCTCTTAATTGTGCTGGATGTGGCACCATTGCCTAGCTCACATGTTTAAAAAATTAATATGATTATATGGATTCTGAGCCTAATAAATTTCTTTCTGAGCCTTTTTAAATTTCTTTGCTGTGTGACCAGGATCAAAGTAATAGTTTAGCTTTTTGACTTTTGTGTAACTTTCATAATGCATTCCTTCGTATTTTATTGAAAGTTTTTTTTTTTTTGCATTTTTTTAAATTGATGTTTATTGAGCTCTACATTTTTCTCTGCTTCCCTCTCTGCCTTCCTGCTCCCCCTTGTTACTTACCTTCTCTGTAGTCATGGACTATAGGGTCGTTATCCTTAACTACTAAGCCATCCTTTTATTCCTTATCTGTTTAATTTTAATATATAATATTCAGGTCATTGTTGCTAACTATCATAGAGTAGTCTTTTTTTGTTTCTTTTTATTTGTTTTTGAGATAGGACCTCACTGTGTATCCCTGGCTATCTTGAAACTTACTATATAGGTTAGGCTGGCCTTAAACTCACAGCAATAAACCTGACTGCTTCCTCAAATGCTGGGATTAAAGGCAAGCTCTAACTCTTGGTCATACAAAAGTCTACTCTTATTGTATCAAATCCTCTGTCTTTAGTAGAGAATACCGTTATGATATCCTTAGTCATAAACTATATGCATTCTTTGAGGTAGAATTTTATTAATTCTAACGTAGAGTTTTATTTTATTTTTAAATGTTTGTATGTTTCATTCCTAGGCTATTCACTGCTACGAATCTTTAATAGTAAAAGCTGAAGGAAAAGTGGAATCTGATTTCTTTTGTCAATTAGGTCACTTCAATCTCTTGTTGGAAGATTATTCAAAAGGTAATTTTTTTCTTTCAAAATTTTAATTTATGTTTTAGTGGTTTTTGTTTGAGGTGATGCTGCTTACTATATGTATATGTGAAAATTTTAATCTAACTGTATGCAAATATTTAATACATTTGATGACTTAGTAAATTTTTTTTTTTATTTTTTACTTTTTTGAGTTTTCTGAGACAAAAGTTTTTCTTTTTAACAGTCTTGGCTGTCCTGGAAATTACTCTGTAGATCAGGCTGGCCTCGAACTCAAAGAAATCTGTGTGTCTCTGCCTCCCGAGTGCTGGGATTAAATGCACCACCACTGCCTGGCTGCTCTATCTTCATACCACAGAAAAGCATTTTATAGGCAAGACTGCTAATTTTTTGTGAAAATAATGTTTTGGTAGATATGTTTTAATTTCTAGCAAATATGGTTGATGAAGAAGGACACTGAACTACCTGTGTCAGGATTTATAGGCTTTTGGGGAAAGGAAATGGAACTGGGTGGTAGGAAAGCTTAATGAGCATGTTTGAAATTTTGGGCTGTATGCCTAGTATCTATCTAAACTCCATATACAGTATAAGGTCTTTTTTTTTTTTTTTTTGTTTTTGTTTTTGTTTTTGTTTTTCGAGACAGGGTTTCTTTGTAGCTTTGGTTCCTGTCCTGGAACTAGCTCTTGTAGACCAGGGTGGTCTCGAACTCACAGAGATCCGCCTGCCTCTGCCTCCCGAGTGGTGGGATTAAAGGTGTGCGCCACCATCGCCCGGCTTGATTTTTTTTTTTTAAATTATCTTTTGGGCTGGAGAAATGGATCAGAGGTTAAGAGCCTTCCAAGGATCCTGAGTTCAATTCCCAGCAACCACATGGTGGCTCACAGCCATCTGTAATGAGATCTGGTACCTTCTTGTAGGCATACATGCAGGCAGGAAAACTGTACTTATAATAAACAAATAAAATCTTTTTTTTTTTTTTTTTTTTGGTTCCCTGACCGGGAATCGAACCTGGGCCGCGGCGGAACAAATAAAATCTTATTAAATTTTTTTTTCTTATTTTACATATGAATCCCAGTTCCCACTCCTTCCCCTCTTCCCTTTCCCTCAACTCCACCCACCCCTACTCAAACCCTCAACCATTCCTTAGAGAGGGTAAGGCTTCTGTAGTGAATCAACAAAGTCTAGCACATTGCTTTGAGGAAATACTAAGGCATTATATTTTGACTGAGCAAGGTATCCCTTAAATGAGAATGGGTTCCCAAAAGCCAGAACAAGAAGAAGGGATAAGGGCTGGAGAGATGGCTCAGTGTTGAGAGCATTGCCTGCTCTTCCAAAGGTCCTGAGTTCAATTCCCAGCAACGACATGGTGGCTCACAACCATCTGTAATGAGGTCTGGTGCCCTCTTCTGGCCTGCAGACATACACACAGACAGAACATTATATACATAATAAATAAATAAATATTAAAAAAAGAAGGGATAAATCCTGGTTCCACTGCCAGTGGCCCCACAATCTGCTCCAGCCATTACACTTGTTACCTACATTTAAAGGACCTAGTTTGGGCCTGTATTTGTTCCTTCCCTGTCACTGTGGAGTGGGTTTGGTTCCCATTAGCTCAGGTGAGCAGTTTCCGTGGGTGTCTCAATGCTCATATCCTCACTCCTCCCTCTCTTTGACTGGACTTTGGGAGCTTTTTTTTTTTTTTTTTTTGAGGATCTAGATTCAATTTCTGCATTTACATGGCAGCTATAACACCAAATCCAGAGAATCTGGTGCCATCGTCTGTATTCTTGAGGACTCCAAACAAATACATGCAGTTAAAACACTCTAAACACATACATAAAGTAAAAATCAAACAAAAAAAAATTTAAAAAAGTCAATTATTTATGATCCAGGAACATGGATTCATGGTTCCTTTAGTAGCAAGTTGGAGTATGCTAACAATTTCATGAAGTCTTTATTATATAACAAAAATACTTTAAATAAAGGTGTTTTTCAAAGCACAGTTGTGGAAATATCTGGTAGGAATCTTATTTTAAATCATAGTAAGTACTTTTGGGGGTCTTATATGCTGACAACATTATTATTATTATTTTTTGGATGTATGTGTTGTATGTGTGAATACCAGGGTTTTGGGTTGTCTGCAGAGGCCAGAAAAAGATTTCTGGAACTGCATTTACAGATTTTTGTAAGCCACCAGATATAGGTGCTGGGAACAGAATTCAAAAACCTTTAAAAGAGCAAATCAAATATTTTGTTTTGTTTTTCGAAGACAGGGTTTCTCTGTAGTTTTGGTGCCTGTCCTGGAACTAGCTGTTGTAGACCAGGCTGGCCTCGAACTCAGAGATCCTCTTATGTGCTGGGATGAAAGGTGTGCACCAATACCACCCAACTGAGAAAATACAATTTTAATCATTGAGGCATCTTGCTATTCCTACCTGCCACAGCCAGGGCTGCCATGAGTATAACATGAATCTGGAATGTTAGAGAGACACGTTAGATTCTGGGTTCAGTTCAAGAACGAACAATTTTTATCCTTCCCATTGTTGTGGACATGTTGTTTAGTTCAGTATTGGAGATCATATTGTAAGCAGAGCTTGACCAAGTAAGTGTTTCTTTATTGAAATTTTTCCTTCTGTACTTTCTGCTCTTCTTTCCACTTTTTCTTTTTTCTCCTTTCAGGACATTACCCCTAGACTTTATTTCCTACCTGCTGTTTCTACAGCTATGGGGCCACATCTGGGTCTGGTGTTGTATTTGAGAAAAGAACTGCAGTTTATGTCTCCACTACTCACCAGTGATAGACATTCTTAGCTTAGTTCACTGAATCTAGTTTTCTCCTTATTTATGTGTCTAAGGTCTTTCTGGAAAGTTCATTTCATAGTATTTATATTATTGTTGGGAAATGAAAAATTTATCTTTAGTATCTTTTTGTGGAACTGGAAGCACCATTTAATGAATTATTTTTCTTTTTCAGCATTGTCATCTTACCAGAGATATTACAGTTTACAGACTGACTACTGGAAGGTCAGTGCACATTTCAGTGGCAATTTTGCTTTGTGTGTTGAGTGTATATATGTCATTGAGTGTATATTACACTTAATATATCATCTTAATGAATTACTACTATTTCTAAGGATGAAGCATGGAAAGGGGAAAAGTAATTTGTGTTTGAGATTTCTGGGTGAGGTCTCTTAATTTTTAGTGAAATATAATCATCAGATTTCTGTATAAGAGCCTGCGCTGGAGAATGGACAGTGTTGCTTGTCTTTTTTCTTTTTTTAAGCATTTATTTTATTTTTAATGATGTGTATATCTGTGTTATGAGGGTGTATGTATGAACACAGGTATTCAAGGCATCAGATCAAGGTACTTCGGTGCTAGCAATGTAATTCAGATATGATTAGAGTTCTTTTCAAGTGCAGTAAACGTTAACTATTCAGTTGTCTTTTTAGCCCTACAGTTACTTGACTTGTTGTGATAAAATACTTGATAAAAGCAGCTTAAGAGAAATTTTGACTATAAGGATATCTTCAGAGTTACTATGAATAACCAGATTTGAATAATTAAGACCACAATTTGGCCAAGATAAAGGTTTATTGATTTGTGGGTTTCTGTTTTTATTTTTTCCATGCATGATTTCACTGTTTAGCTCTGACTGTCCTGGAACTTGCTTTGTAGACCTTTCTGGCCTCTAACTCACAGAAATTTAGCTGTCTCTGCCTACTGAGTGCTGAGATTAAAGATGTGCACCATCACCACCTGGCAAGATTATTGATTATTGACATCACTCATTTCTACCTCACTTTTCTTCTTTTTAAAATAAAGATCATATTAATACCTCAGACTTTAACGTGCAGTCCTTTCTGAGAAGTTACTACAGTGGAGAGGTTAAGTGTACTTGTTGTATTATTTCTGATAAGGAAACAAAAACTTAGTTTCATCTCATCTATCTTTTTTATTTAGTCTTGTATTTTAGCCTTGGAACAGAGCTTCCTGCATTTAGTTTTCTTCCTACCTCAATTAACCCTGTGTGGATACCAATTTGGATTTTCCTTTGAGTATATAGTTTTCTTTCTCATCTTTTTTGATTAGTTTTGGCTTGTTCTATCTTATCAAATATTAAAATGGTTATACCGACTTGCCTCATAGTTTCAGTTGCTTAAAAAATCTGTTTCCATCCTTTTATCCTGAGACAATTTCTTTCTTTAATGTTGAGGTGTGTTTCTTTGGATGCATCAGAAAATGTTTTTTGAGAGGAATTGAGACTGGTACTTAAATTTTAATTATAAGCAAGCACTGTTTATAGATTCGTGTTATTTTGTTGTGGTGTGCCTCTCCCCCTTGATTTGCTTTTTCGTGTGTTATTTCCTGTTTTTCTTGGTTGTGACTGAAAAACTTTCCTTTTATTATGTTCTGTATGTCGGGATTTGTAGATAAGATCGAAGCTGTTTAAAATTAGCCTATATTATGAAATGGTTTTCTTTTTCCATTGAAAGTTTTTCTGGCCTTAGTTGTTTCTAGCATTTGGTCTCTTAGAGTAGCATTGACAGCAAGGATAAGGCATTCTGTGATCTCAGCCAGTTGGAGGGCTGTGGCTAGTGTGTCATAGTGATTGTGGCTTTGTTATTCCTCACATGGTACACCTTAAAAGCCAACTCTAAGACTTCTGCTTGTGTGGTCAAGAGGCCTTTCTCCAAGTGTCTAAGTTTAGCCTTAATGTCACGTTAGCACTGAGGAAAAAAAATGAGTCATGAGTAACTGTTTGCCTTCCATGGTTTCTGGATCTAAGTTTGTTTATTGTAACAGAGCTTTAGTGAGGCGTTCCAAAAATGCAGAAGGAGTTTTTCATATCTTGAATGACCTTTGAGAGCTTATTATAGTTTACTGGCTTGAGGGCAGCCTTATGAAGACCTGCTTGGAGGCAAGTAAAAAACTGGTCCCTAGCTAAAATCTCATCTAAGTGTTATAGTCCCAGTGAGGTTCCTCTGCTCCCGGAGGGTGTGTTACATGTGTTTGGTGAAAGTGTAGAGTTAGATGTATAGGACCCCAGTTTTGTTCAATATGGGGGAGTTCTGAGAAGGAGATAGGAACGTGTATCCCAATCAATCCATCTACACCAGCCACCTCTCGCAACGGGAGAACTGCAGCTAGCTTGGCTTGGTCAGGGTTGGGTTCCATAGCAGCACATGAGCTAGTGAGAGAATGTGTAAAGGTGGGTGCCAGAGCCAGGTGGCTGCTGCGGTTAGGCACCAGAGAGAAAGAATGGTGCAGCGGGGCTGATGTAGTAGTTAGTGGGGGAAGCACGAGAGCTGAAGAGGCCAAAGGAGCAGAAGTATCTGTTCGGAAGGTGTGGACTCCTTAGCGTGGTCTAGAGGAGTAGCTGAAGGAAATGGGGGTAGGAGCTTGAGGAATGGGGGTAGGAGCTGAAGGAACAGTTGTAGGAGTTGGGGGAGTGGGGGTGGGAGCTAACAAAACGGGTAGGAGCTGAAGGAATGGTGGTAGGAGCTGAAGGAATGGGGGTAGCTGCCTGCTTAGGTCAAAAAGGTGGGGTTCATTAGCTGGGTCCAGGAATTTGTGTGCAGGCAAACAACTTGCAAGGAAGAGGACTTAGGCTTAGAGCTTATAAGTAAAAGGCTTGGATATAAGGGAACTCCTTTCCATTAGCCTGTGCACTGACAGTAGTTAAAAGGCTCCTATAAAATATCAGGATCGGACTGAGCTCCCAAGGTCCCAAAGAGGAGCAGAAGGAGGGAGAACATGAGCAAAGAAGTCAGGACCACGAGGGGTGCACCCACCCACTGAGACAGTGGAGCTGATCTACTGGGAGCTCACCAAGGCCAGCTGGACTGTGACTGAAAAAGCATGGGATAAAACTGGACTGTCTGAACATGGCGAACAATGAGGGCTGATGAGAAGCCAAGGACAATGGCACTGGGTTTTGATCCTACTTCATGTTCTGGCTTTGTAGGAGCCTAGCCAGTATGGATGTTCACCTTCCTAGACATGGACTGAGGGGGGAGGACCTAGGACTTTCCACAGGGCAGGGAACCCTGACTGCTTTGGGCTGGAGAGGGAGGGGGAGAGGAGTTGGAGGAAGGGGAGAAGGGTGGGAGGAGGGGGAGGGAAATGGGAGGCTGGGAGGAGGTGGAAATTTTTTTTTTCAAAAACAAAAATAGCCCAATATAAGAAAAAATAAACATTTAAAAATAAAAAAAAATATCAGGATCAAAGGTGCCATTAGGTGGCCACTTTAAATTGTTATCTAAATTGTAACGAGTCCACTTTTTTGAACAAAGTTGGACAAGTGTGGGAATCTGTAAGTAGGGCATTAAGGGCCTCTAAAAGACATTCCAGGGGGAGGTTGGTTTGATGGTCTTGAATGGCTTGCTTACCCATAGTTGAGACTGTGAAAACCTGTGAAAATGGTGACACTACAAGTCTTATAGGGGAACATCTCCCATCTGTAGGCAGGGCGTAAAATGGCGGAGAACACTGCAGGGCATGTAGGACAACATCCTATATCTACAAGCGGGGTGTTAAAGCCTGACTGACTCTGGTCGGGGTGACTTAGAAGCCAGAGAGATCATGGCTGGGACCACTGATGAGTGGTCCAAATGAAAAGAAAAAGAAAAAGGGAGAACTGATCCCAGGTTATCCAAACACAATTTTAGCTAATGGAAGCAATCCAGACATGAATGTCAGCAAAGGGCTCAATCATAGCTGCCATAAATACTGGTTGGACACTGTTTTCCCATTTCTAGGAACACCAGAAGATTTCCAGGAATGCAAGAGTCAGAGAAACGATTAAGCGGGCCAGAATAAGGAAGCTCTCCAGTTGAAGCTGGTAGTGTATGTAGAAATTGTGCTCAGGCTCAGGAAGATGGAACATGTGGTTGTTGCAGAAAAAATGCCTGGTTCCAGATCCTGACCACGGGAGAGGGGCTCAGTGCTGGAGCCTCTTGAGTTTCACGGCACTAATAAAATTACTGCCTGGCACGAGTGGGAAGGAATGCAGAGAATGCAACAAACCCACTTATGAGTTTATTAGAGGGGGTGTGTACAGGCCTGGGGAAGTCAGTGTGCAGAGAGAAAGTGAGAGGGAGGCAGAGAAAGAGGAAGGGAGATAGGAAGGAAGGAAGGGAGGGAGGGAGGGAGGGAAGGGTGGAGGAGGGGAGGGTGGGGGAGTGAAGGGTGTTCTTTCCCTGACCATTTTACCCAACAATGAGACTGGAGAAATTATAAGCCAGAACAGAAAGGGAAGTAAAAATTGCTTACCTTGATTTCCAGCCTTTTGTCCATTGTGGATTTCAGGTAGAGAGTGCTTCTAGGTACCTGCAGTTTGAGTAATGGATTGGAAGGAAAGCCTTAGATAGTTCATAGAAAGAGGAAAAGCTGGGCTAGTGGAAATGTTTGTCATAGTCATCATTTGATGGAGCATTATTGACCAACTTTTAACTAATAAGCTCCCCCCCCCCGCCCCCCAAAGATAGAGCCTGAACTGGTCACTGGTAGGCCTCTAAAGTAGTCACTAACAATTTTATTTTATAAAGACTAATTTTCTCTTTAGGCCTAAATTGGTCTAGATAACTTTTTTCTTTTTTTAAAGGAGAGAGTATAATAGGAAACATATCCTGTATAAGCAGTAAGAAATAGAGAGCTTAATGGGTATTATGGGCCAAAAGTATTTGCTAAGATTCAAAACATACACAAAATTTCTTGAGATAGAATTAGAGTTTTTAGCAATTAAATATCAGTCCTAGTCAGTTTATTTAGGGTATAGAGGAAGTTTCCAGAAAAATGAAGTTTTAGGGTATGTTTAAGGACTTACTTACTTGTTAAGCCTTGTCTTAAAAGTTCAACTTTTCTGAAAATGGAAATTCAGACAACATAAAATTATAGTAATTTATTACTATGAAGCTATGTTTCCTTTTAAAAGAATAGTGAGATTTTAGCACTTGGAATTTAAACAGATTATACACTTGGACATTAAACTCTTGTATTGGTTAAGTGACGTAGGTTAAAATATTTTGCTTTTAACTTAAAAACAAATTTAGATTTGCATTTCTTTTATTACTACCAAAAACACTAAATCTGTTTATAATTTACATAGTGGAAACCAGGTTGTGATGACACACACCTTTAATTCAACACTCAGGAGGCAGAAGCAGGCACATCTTTGTGAGTTCCAGGCTAGCCTTCTTAGTGAGTTTCTAGTCTGCCAAAGCTATATCAAGACTTATCCTCCTAATTCCCCCAAAGTAGAAGAATACAAAGAGATTGTCTGTAGGCTTTCCTGTCATTAGGCGTTTCTGCAAAGAGAAGTTTTAGGGCACCCTTCCATTCTTTAGGAATCCCAAAGAATGGAGTGATTGGAAAGAAACTAAATATTCTCAATATTGCTTGTCTTCTCTTTGGCTTTGGTCAGTTGTTTTGTTACATGCATTGTGACACTTGGTAGAATAGTAAGAATACCTTATATGCCTGTTTTAAATTTTTTTGTTTTGCTATATTGACAGGGTCTTTCTATGTATGTCTGGGAACGCTGTATAGAGTGGGTTAGCCTTGAATTTGTAGAGATATATCTGCCTTTGCCTCTTGAATACTGGGATTTAAAGTGAGTGCCACCAAATGCTTGGCTTTTTTTTTTTTTCTTTTCTTTTCTTTTCTTTTTTTGGTCTGGCCTACAGAGGCCAGAAGAGGGTGGCAAGTTCCTTAGAACTAGAGTTACAGATGTGTTGACGTGTTGACATTCGTAATCTAACCAGGGTCTTGTAAGAGCAGATGGTGCTCTTACAAGCACCATCTCTCCAACAACTGAGGCATCTCTCCAACCTTAATTTCTTAATATGTGTAACAACAAATTGAAAAAAATAGTAAAAATTATTTTGCTTTACAGAATGCTGCCTTTTTATATGGTCTTGGTTTGGTTTACTTCTACTACAATGCATTTCATTGGTAAGTTCACAACAATCTTAACTTTTTCCAGTGAAGTATACTATATGTAATAAGTACAGTATATTAATGTCTGTAACTTTGAATTTTTAGTAGTACTATTTTTACCTTTCTAGAATTCCAATGAGTTTTGATTCTTTACTCCTTTGGTCTGCCTACACAAATATTGGAAAGTTTAATAGGTTTTTGTTAGGATTCAAATAACCAAAAGAAATAGTTTAAGAGGAAAATTGTTTTATTTTTAGTCACTGTGGATTTCAACATTTGAGTAATTTAGGTCTTTGATTTCTGTGCTGTGGGCTTTGATGTGGTGGGCACACTGTAGTGAAATGAGAAAATACTCAGAGGAAGCATGTCAAGATACTGTTCCAGGGAATGTGTCCTTACTAACCTAGTTCCTTCACACAGGGTCTTCCATCAAAGATTTTCATCTCTTCCCATCAGTACTCTATTTGTAACCTAAGAATCTACTTGTGTGTTATTGATTAGGTTAGATTTCTTCCCAAAAGCGCATCATCTGACCAGTAAGTTTTTAACATAGGTTCAAATAATGTAATGATAAGAACCATTACAATGATTGCGATAGCAACTTGTAATTGTAAGTTGAAAAAAAAAAATCTACATGTTAGTATATAAATGTGGGTTTGTGTGTGATATATTGCAGAGCTTGAAGAGGCCAGAAGAGGGCATGGGATTTTCTGGGATTGTTGTTAGAGTTAAGTGTGAGCTACCTGGAAATTGAATTTGGTTTTTCTGCAAGAGCAATAGGCACCCTTAACCATTGAGCCATGTTTCCATTTTTAGCTGTAAATTTAAAACAGTATTTTTTTTTCTTAATGCATTGGTATTTGCCTCAATGTATATCTCTGAGTATACTATATACATTTAAAGGCGTGCAAAGTCCAGAAACTGGATGGAACTGGAGGTAAAATGTTGTCTTATGTTTTCAAATAATTGAACCTTGGTACTCTGGAAGAGCTGCAAGTGCTCTTAATTACTGCATCATCTCTCCATTCTTAATTTGCAACAAATGTCAGAATTTAGAATGAACTTTTTCAAAAGTTTACCGATATTAATCATTCTTCACTGAGCATTAAGTAATAGATAAGATAATATTAAATGCAGGAACCATTTTGACTTCTCACCCCATTTGAAGTCAGAAGGAAGTTAATGGAACTTTACTATGTAGACTAGGCTGGTGTCTTTCCCACTGCTAGCTTTAAGGTGCACCACCACACTGTGCTTCTGAATGTTAGTCCTTAATTCATGAAAAATGTGATATATTTTGACTGTGGTTGCACATATCCTTAATCCCAACAGACATGCATATCTCTTTGAGTTCCAGGCCAGTGAGGGTTATATAGACTTTGTTTCATCACTTCTCTGTTAAGATGATACTTTTTGTTGAAGTGAAAATAATTTTCTTTCTAATTATGATAGACTCTAGGAAACCGAACAGGAAAATTTCAAAACTGACCTTTTCTAAATCATTCTTTTTTTCTTTATTTTTTAAATATTTATTTATTTATTATATATGCAATATTCTGTCTGTATGTATGCCTAAAGGCCAGAACAGGGCACCAGACCTCATTACAGATGGTTGTGAGCCACCATGTGGTTGCTGGGAATTGAGGAATTGAACTCAGGACCTTTGGAAGAGTAGGCAATGCTCTCAATCTCTGAGCCATCTCTCCAGCCCTAAATCATTCTTTCTTATACTAACTTGCAAGTGGATTGTCAACTAAATATGAAAGGAAAAATAAACCTTCTAGAATAACAAGTAAGTGTCACATTCTTGTATTCTTAGGAGTTATGATATAAGTTCTAAGTTCAAAGACGTATATAGTTACAGGGCAAGTTCAAGGCCACCTTTCATCACCTAAAAATTTTATTAGAATAAATTTTGTCAAATGTAGTAGTCAGGGATTACTAGAGTCACAGAACTTAGGGAATGAATTTCTTTATATGTATATGTATATACACATACGCACATGTACATAGATATACACATATATGAATTTATTGGAATGACTTTCAGTGGCTACAGTGTAATAATGGGTAGCTGAGAATGGAAAATCCAAGACTAGTAGCTGGTCAGTCTCACAATTCTGGGTGTCTCAGGTGGTCTTCTGTTTGGGCCAAAGTAGGCTTCAAGGCCAGTAAAGGAATGGATGTGCTGACAAGGGAGGGCAAGCAGGAGAAGAACTAACCCATTGTCCTTAAATGGGCTGGGGACAGAAGTTGTGGCCCTGGATAAAGATGTGCCTTCCAGCCTTTAGGTCTGGATTAAAGGTGGTGGTTGTGTTGTCTCAATATCTGTCCTCCATTTCTGGATTATAGTTCATTCCAGGTAGTCAAGTTGACAACCAAGAATAGCCATCACATGAGATAATTGCAGAATTTGAGAAGAGATTAGGTTGAACTACATTTATTGTCTTTTGTTTTGTTTTTATTATTTACTCATAGGTTTGTGTAAAAATAGCATTCACGTTTCAGTGCACATTAGGAAACTAGAGTATTTCCTGTATAATGTAGAATACATGTGTTGCATACATAATCATTTAAAATATTTTCTATATATATCTTTTCTCTTCAGGGCAACTAGAGCATTTCAAGATGTCCTTTATGTTGACCCCAGTTTTTGCAGAGCCAAGGAAATTCATTTACGCCTTGGTTTTATGTTCAAAGTGAATACAGATTATGAGTCTAGTTTAAAGGTAAGTGGTTGAAATTTTCAGGTATATTATAATCATATTTGTTTTCTATCTCTTTCTGTTGTATCTGTTCTGTTAAATATTATTTTAAAATGTTGAAGTTAATGGCAACACTATGAAAGAAATTTAAAATATGAACGAAAAAAAAAGATGGAGCTTGATTTTAAGGTATAAAATGGTTTCTCTAAATTTAGATTTTGTCTTTTGTGTAGATTTAAAGAAGTTTATGGTAGGAAAGTGGTGAAAATATTGGTTAATAGGATAATTAGCCTTGACTACACTTAAAACAAAGCAAATGTAGAAAAGAAATTATTATTGTAGATGGATTGTCTTATACTTAGTTCAAACTTCAGTAGGTTTTTCTTTCTAAAGAACTTGTGTTTTCTAGGAGACACCTCTTTATCCTGGTAGTTACTAGTAGTAGGACTTTTTTTATGCTTATATAGTTTCACTATTTAAGTGACGACTGATAATAAAATTATGAAATGATATTAGGGAAACTGATTTGCTTATTTGCTCTGTTAATTTATGAATTCTTTTTAGTAAAGTGGTTTTAAACTCATCTGTTTATGATTAAAAGGTTGTAATTTATCAATATACTTTTTGAGTTTGGCAATGCTATGAAAATGTTTTCCAAGTATTTTCGTATCTATTTAACATATAAGTCAGTGTTTACTGACACCACTTTGTATGGATATAAAAGTAAACAAAATATATGTCGATTAAGGATGTGTTTTATGGCAGTAGGAAAGGTTTTGTAATATGGATGTATAGAGCAGGTTTTTTTTTTTTAAGAGAGTCACATTCATATTTATAGGTAGATAAAAGGAGTGTACTAGAGAGTAGAATAAGTATTTTTTTTAAGAGTAATTTGAATATCTGTTAGAACATAGCTGTATGCACTTTGGGAAGGCTCAAAGGGATCATGCAAAGTTTTGACTCAGTCTAATCTTCATAGTCAATGATAGGTTTCTCAGAGGTAGTATGTTAAAATAACAACACAAGCAGTAATATAGAACAAAAATATGATGAGTGAAAGAATATTTGAAGTTTATTTCATGACAGGAAAATTTGCATGATCCTGAACTATGAAAACTTTGCTAGAGATTTAGAATTTAGATTTAGAATTTGTAATTGCTTAGACTTAAGGGCTAAGGGTGTAGAATCTTTTTGGAGTAATTTTTGTGTTAAGAAACATTATTAAATTTCTTTAGGACAATGTTTAGTGAATTACTTTGTGGGTTATATGACTCTAGATTGAGATTTTTATATTGGAAATGAAGGTATGCGAGTTTAGAATAGCATTAATTGTTTTTTAAGTATTTGTATTCAGCATATTACTTGATGAAAAATATTTTGACATTTTATGTTTAGTGCTTAAACTGTGAAAGAATTATTATTTTCCCTCCTGAAATAGTCTCATCTCATGTATCTTAGATAAATAGTTCAAACTGTAGAGATGACAGTGATCACAGATATGTATCACCGTTCTCTTTTACATAGTGCTGGTTATTGAACCCAGAGTTTTTTACATACTAATCAAGAACTCTTTAAGATGAGGTATATCCATACTTCAACATGTTTTATTTTGTAAGATCTTGAATATTAACCGATAATGTTGGTTTCATTAATCTTTTATGTGGATTCACCATTTAGATTTTAGGGAGGGAAAAGGGAACGTGTTTAAGAGATAGGCTCTGAGGTGAACATATTCAGGGGAGCAGCCATTTGTTAATAATGCTTAGTAATTAATAATTTTGGAAGAATATGGTACAGAGTTGCATAAAGACACTTTACTTTTGTAAAATAAGGTATCTGCTCCTTTGTTTGTTTGTTTGTTTTTTCGAGACAGGGTTTCTCTGTAGCTTTGAAGCCAATCATGGAACTCACTTGTTAGACCAGGCTGGCCTTGAACTCATGGCCTCATCAAACAACAGGTTTTGTTAATATATGACCTATGTTATATGCCTGCAGTCAGTCTACCTCAGACTTGTCGATGGACGTTTCTGTCCCTCCCAGATCTGCAGCCATTCAGTCTCAAAGAAACACACAGAGGATTGTATTAATTATAAACTGTTTGGCCTGTTAGCTCAGGCTTATTATTAATTAGCTCTTACAACTTAAATTTACCTACAATTCTAGTGTATGTTCAGCCATGTGATTTGGTACCTTTTCTCAGTGCAACATTCTCATTTCGATTCCTCTGCATCTGGCTGGTGACTGTGTCTCTTCTTTTCCTCTTCCCTGAATTCCCCTCATTTGGTTGCTCCAGCTATACTTCCTGCCTCACTACTGCCATTCAGTGTTTTATTAAACCAATGTGCATGACAAATCTTTCCAGTATTCAAGAGCATTATCCCACAGCACAGATTTCTTGGTGAGAGAGAAAAAAAAAAAGAGTTGATTTTTTTTGTTAGAGTTGTGAGAACAGAAAGGCTGCAAGGTCTATGAGACTGTTTAGGAGTTGGTATAGTCAATCAACTCTTTATACCAGCACAAGAGATCACAGAGGATGAGACTTTTGTAGCAGCATCAGAAAGGTCTGGATTCTAACTTCATGTTGTACACTAGTAGCAATATGGAAGAACTGTTAGCTTTGAAACCTTTTTTTTTTTCTTACAACAGTTTTGATAATTTGTTACCAGTAAATAAGTGTTCTCTCTTGGAAATTGTTAGGCTGGATGATAGACAGGGGCCAGGGTAGTGAGGATTGTTGAAGTTGAGAAACAAAAAAGCAAACTATTGTCAGCAAATTTTAAATCTTAGCAGTTCCTAAGAGGATAGAGATGAATAAGAATGCATAAATTTATAGTCTAAGAAAGCAGGCAAACCCTACATTGGTAGGAATTCATTATCACAGGGAAAGATTGATGTTTGTCTAGAGTAACATAGTAGTTTTGCTTAGAATTTTGGCCTGTTCTGCAAAGGGAAAAAAGAAAACTTAGACCCTTTGAATTAGAACTCAGACAAACAGGCAGGGTTAGTGTTGAAGATTTGCCAGCAACTTTATAGACTGACGAGTTTCTGGATGAGTACAATATCTCATTACTATTATCATTATTTCTCTTATCTTCTTAGTGGTTCTTTAGGTGAATCAGCTTTCCTGAGAAAGTTGACTGGCAAACCCAGTCAGATTAAGTCTTTTTTAAAAATTAATATGTTATTTAATGAGTGTTAAATTTACATCATTTTTTTTACTCCCTGTGTTCTTGTTGCCTCTCTTATCCCTGTCACTCCTCAAATTCATGGTCTCTTATTCTTAAATTACAGTTATTATAAATATGTGTGCATGCTGGGCAAATACCCTGTTTCTCCTGAATGCTAGAGGAGATTCTGTTCTTTTTTGATTTGTAGGAAGTAGATTTTCATTAATGGCCTTCAACAATGCCCTGATACCTCTACCCAATTCCTTTTACATGGCATTTTAAATATTTTTGTTTGTTTGCAAAACAGTTTTTTTTTTCCTGTACATTTCTGGCTCCTGGAACTACTCTGTAAACCAGGCTGGCCTCAGAGATCAACCTACTTTTGCCTCCCAAGTGCTGGGATTTAAGGTGTGTACCACCCCATTTAATTTTTTCCTCTCCTCTCAAAACAGGGTTCTAATTGACCTAGAACTTTCTTTGTAGTCCAGGCTATCCTTGAACTTACAGAGATCTTTCTGCCTCTGCCTACTGAGTGCTGTGTTTATAGGTGTGCACTACCACCTACTTTAAATCTTTTAAGAGATTTTTTTTTTAATGTATCTGTTTTGGTTGTGTTGTTGGTTGTCTAATATGAGTCCAGGTACCGTCAAAGGCCAGAAGAAGTTGTAAGAGGTCACTAGCTTTTTGGAATTCAGAGAGATAGTTGTGAACTACTCAACATGTGTGCTGGGAACTGAACTCAGGTCCTTTCCTGAAAGGATAAATAAAATCGAAGGCCAAGTGGGTACCTTTGGCTGACCCTGCCAAGGTTATCACTAAGCGAAAATGCCCTTTGATGTAGAGTTGGTGCAAGAGGTTTGTTAGGTAAGGGGGAGAGTGGAAGAATGGAAGGCTGAGTTGAAGTGGGCACTTGAGAAAATGAGACAGACAAGAGGAAGAAAAGTAAGAGAGGAAAAAAAGAGTTAAGAGAGGAAAGAAGAGACAAAGAGGGGAAAGAGGCAAGAGATGTGAGAAACGAGGTAAAGAGATAAAGAGGGCAAACTGTGCCTGCTGGGCACTTTGAAAGGGCTGCAAATGTCACATAGCTGACAGTGGAAAGGCACCCAGTGATGACATAAATGCTTTGGTGGCAAAGGCAGGCTGCTGCTGTGGTGGATGCTAACAGGTACATAATCTTTTTTTAGATAACATGAATTTTTTCTCTAGATTTATATTTTAAATGGTATGAAGGCATAATTATGATGTTTCGTTTTCTTGTGTTACTAGAAAAAAGTGGAAGTTATAAGTCTAAAGGTGGTTATAGCGGTTGATAGACTTTGGTACTCTCTTCAGTGGTCTTTAATCCTGCTAATACATATGTAGTTATCTAACATGACTCATTTAAGAAAGATCCTTGTGAATCTGTATAGGACCTAGCTAGACCCTCTGAATGTGATGATATTTGCATGGCTGGGACAGACTGCGGAGCCACTGGCAGTGGCAGCAAGTGTCCTTGCTGCTTGTACTGGCTTTTTGGAACCCATATTCTCTGGATGGAGACCTTGCTCAGTTTGGATATAATAGGGAGGGCCTTGGTTCTTACTAGAAGCAATGTGCCTTACCCTCTCTGGGGAGTGGATGGGGATAGGGTGTTGGAGTAGACTTGGAGAGGAAGGGATGGAATGGGAACTGGAATTGATATGTAAAATGAAAAAAAGATAGTTTGTTTTCTTTAAAAAAGAAAAAGAAAAAAAGGAAGGTCCTTGTTTCCCCAAATCTTATTTGTTTTGTTTTTAGACATGATCTCAGTATGTAGCTCTGGCTGTCCTGCAGTTTACTATGTGTGTTAGAAACACAATTGAAGCCAAGAGGTATGTC